AGGTACCCTGGGCCATTGAATTTGACAATAAAAGGAGGTCAAGGCGCATCACGGAGAGGGGGCTCATCACCTTTACTGGCTATAACCCTGGACCAGTGTCAGAAAATCCGGGCTGTCTCATATAATCCATCATTCCTACACCTTCTGGGAAACGAATGAAAATGAGTTGAGCACATGGAGACGAAGCAGATGGTTGGGTTGATTCCATGACGGACGAGGAGCAGGGAACTCCACAAAGCAGAGGCTCTTGCTCCCACTGTCTTGGACTCAGTGCCAGCTGTCAACAGCTGGACACTAGAAAAAGAACTACATCATGATTAATACTCCATCTGTCAGGGGCTGTCAGCTCTGAAAAATCATAACATGAGCTAACATTTGTGAAGTGCTTGGAGTTTTCAACTTCCTTCTCTCCCTTGTAAGAACCCTTGAGATGGGAAGGCCAGGAAGTAGTAACCCAGTTTTCTAGATGAGGAAATGAACATTCAAGAAGATTCAGTGACTTGCCCATACCTACAGCCTTTGCGGGCGTGGAGCTGGGAGTCAAGGCAGGGTGTCCTGGCTTGGAATCCAGTCATCTCTCGACCAGGCATCACTGAAGCCTGATGTCTAGGTCGCCAGTCAGTAACTGTGTAGATGCCATCTGCTTTGGGCCTATCACTGGGCTAGCTGTTGGAGAGGGGACGCACAAGAGTATAACACACAAATCCTGATCTCAGTGAGCTCAGAGCAACCTGAAGCAGTTTGTTCAGGCACCTGAGCAGGCGGAGCAACCTCTGAGCACAGTAGCCATCGAAAGAAGAAGAGGCACAGTCAGTGCAGAAGGTTTTAGGTGAGGGATAAGGTTGGCCTGGTCTTGAAGGGTGAGCTGTGTTGGAAAGCCTGGGAAGGTAGTGGTGGAGGGCGGACCGTGGGCAGTCTCAGTAGGCGGGTGTGGGTGGGGAGGGATGAAAAGGGACTGGCCTAAGTGTCCAGAGAAGGGTGTGTTGGGGTCAAAGTCGCAGAAAACAGGATGCAGAGGGTGAGCCAGTGGCAATGAGCAGCCATTGGCCTTAAGCAAGGAGGTGAAGCCCATGCCTTAGGCAACCAGCTCACTGACATTTATGGGGCTGTGTTGCAGGATGGGGAGGCAATGACACATGGGGTGTGGTCCCTCCCTCAAGAAGGTGACAAGCAGGATTGTCCGACTATCCTCTCAGAATGAATGGCTCCTCATCACACCTCAGTGGCATGTGACATTTTCCACTATTTGGCACTCAGAAGCGGAAGCCTTTCAGTTTTCTAAAATTTATTTTTGGTTGAGTTGTAAACAAGCTCAGAATTTCCTTCAGTGTGTCCTATAGAGCACTAGCCTTGTTCTCTGTGTTCAGTTAAGCATGGAGAAGCTTTAATACTACATCCCTCTCTTGGGAGAATCACTGTACTCAGTAGCATCTTAAAGGCTCTGATAAGTCCTGCAGGTAAGAGACACCTTTTGCTTTTAACCAGAGTTCAAGAAACTCCTAGGAATGTCTCATGAAACTCGCAGGCTCACAGTCACTGCCTTATTCCATTCAACCCTCACATCTTCCCAGTGATATGAGGTTATGATCTTCATGCCCAATGAGAATACTGAAACCAATGAGTTTAGTGACTTGCCCAAAAACACGCAACTAGGAATGGTCAGCTTAAAGCCCAGGGCTTCATACTATAAATCTGTGGCTTTGTCCCTTATTCAGCCTTACAATGTCTGAATCAACTTTTGAAGGGGTTCTTGTACTTTTCCTAATAAAGCATATATAATTACTTTTGGGGGAAGATAACGGAAACTTAAAGACAGGAGGAAATAAAAATCACTAGGAATGACGTAAAGCTGATCAGGCGTAGATTCTCTCAGGAGCCTGGGCTGCTTTCCACTTCAGAAGCCCTTTTTCTTGGATCTATCTACCCTCTTTCAGATGTAGCTCCTACATTGGCGGGGGGAGTGGCGTTAGTGGCTAGAGGTGGTTGATAGATTTCAGTTAAGATCAGATGGGTGCTTTGAGATAAACAATACGATGGCAAATCAGAAAGCATTTATATTGTTGATCAAACAAAATTTTATAAAACCACAAAAGTTAATTTTGCATGTACGACAGGTACCTTTTTACCCAAACTATCTCCTGAACAAGACCTAAACTGATGAAATTCATGGTATCATTAAACAGTAATTAGTTTTTTGGGTTTTTTTTTTTTTGTAAATTTTTATTTTATTTAAAAAAATTTTTTATTGTTAGTTTCAGGTGTACAGAACAAT